TTCTTGAATTTAAATGCTTTTGATCCTAGTATTGCGCTTTTATTTGGGATTTTCTTTCTCTTCCTTGTAATTTTAGAGATGACTATCTACACCAGCAGCAATTACATTTTTTCACTTTCGTTTTAATCTCAAACAAATTGAGTGCCCCTCTTTGCAGGAAATCACCTCTTCAGACAGACAATATATAGAATTTTCGCTAATGTTTCTTATCAGTCCCTTTGTTTTTACACCATAATAGGGAAAAAAATTGCATTTCCAAGGTCACAGTTAGAATCGTTTTACACTATATTGCACACCGCACATTCTCTATGTGGAGTGGCTGTTGTGCTTCATTCCAGATAAATGCAGGTAATAACTGTGATTGATGCTGAGCCTACAGTCCTCTAGTGCCTCTACAAAAAGGAAGGATATGCGAAGAGTCAACACATGGTCATACGAGCGTCTTTTATTCTGCAACACCGAAACTACAGAGTCAAGACCCCACCATGATCAAATGAGAACAATTAAAGATACCTACAAGTTATTGGTGTTTCCTGATTTCCTGAGTTATATGACAAACCCTATTTAACTGGCAGAATATTGCAACTTTACAATGACACTAATTCATGCAAGTCCCCCAAAAAGGCTGGTCGTCCACATAAGACAAATGCACAAGAAGACAGGATAATGCAGAGACTCTCAATGGGGAATCGGTTCAGCACTGCAGCTGGAATTGCTCGCTAGTTCAACTATGAACAGGGTATTGATCTGTATCTGCATTTTTAAGAAAAGTCAGACTCAAAACGCACTCTGCAGTGATCAAGCCTCTCATCAACAAAAATAATCAAAAGGCTTGACTCACCTCTGCTAATGAGCATGTTGTGTGGAGACAGGAGTACTGGCCCAAAGTTCACTTTAGTAATGAGAGCAAGTTTAATTTATTTGGGTCCGATGGGAAACATTATGTTCAGCGTCAAACTGGGGAAAGACTGAAACCTGAGTGCCTAAAGAAGTGATTAAAAGGTGGAGGAGGAAGTGTCATGCTTTGGGGGATGTTTTGTGCTGCAAGAGTTGGGCCGCCTAATAAACAGCTACATGTCAGAGTGAATGCAAATGTTTATCAGAACCTCCTTCAGCAACATGCAGTACATTCCCTGAAAGCATCTCCCAATCAACCTGCAATTTTCATGCAAGACAATGCCCCCGTCACACTGCAAAACAGATAAAGCAGCACCCACAGCACCCCTAGTTCCTGCGGCCATGATCACACCAGCGCAGTCTGAGAAACTAGTGAAGAAACAGCCTCAGATGTGCCGAAGTCACTCAAAGCAGGGGCCTCTACAATTCCTACAAATTTTTTACCTCCATAATTTTAGTTGTAATCTTCCTTCGTGCTACATTGGTTACTGTTCTCTAATTTTGATCACTGTGTTTTTTCCAGAAAATAAAAGTTTTTGTTGAAATGCCATGGTTATTTTGTTAAACATGTTAGTACAACAGTGGTATACCCACAGCTAATATTCCTTCAAATTATGAGCGATGAAGATTAACAATATTTCAGAAAAAATCAAGTATTTATAGATTGTTCTCTAGTTTTGATCTCTACTGTACAACTGGAAAGGCACAGGGGTGAGTAATAATGGCATAATTGTCATTTTGGGGTGGCGTACCCCTTTAATTTAACAAGTGGAGTCCAGTTACTGTTATCTTAGAAATAAATAGGGTTCTTTTTGCATTTTGAACCCAATATTGTGTAAAAACATGCAAGTAGCATGCAAGTATGAGTAGCAGATTACAGACAGAGCAGAGTGCTGTCCCTTACATGAAGAATGCATTATGTGCATGCTATATTTAATTAAATCTCAGCCTTTTGCAGTTTAATAATCGCAAAAGGTCCCACTGCAATTTTGATTACTTTAATTGTGCAGCCCAAGTAGCATGGTATTCCAAACATAGCCTGAGTTACAGAATCATCGTGTCACGTTAAATCCCTGCGACCGTTTGTCCTCTTAGAACAACATGCAACAGTTTCAGCACTTGTCATCAAAGTGCAAATGATAGAATGCTAATTGAGAGTCCCCCTTCAGTATTGTGGTTTTCTTCTAGGGCAATGTTATCATTGTTGCACTCTAGAAGGGTGAAAATGAGGTGAAATGAAATTGCGCTGCAACACAGGGATTTTTGGCAGGGATCTTGATTTTTTAAATTGATTTTATTCTGGCTTTGGGCCTACCTGTACGAACAAGAGCCAAAGACACCCCCCTGCTTTCCTGTGTAGAAGCCACCTGTTTCCTACAGCTCTCGATCCCTCCAGATTTTGAACCACAAACTCAAGGTCGCTTCTTAGCATCTGGGTGCTACAGTATGGAGTCATTTCCTCAGCAAGATATCTGACTTATATACAGTAACAGAGCTCGACATTAATGCTTGTCTGGGACAAGTAGATTTTTTTGAAGGGGCAAGTGAAAGAAGAGAATTTTACTTGCCCGACCGGACAACTAATCTGATTAAAACATCTAATTAAGGAAGCACCGAAATTTCGGCGAGTATGATTCTGATTTTATTACATTCGGTGTAAACAGCGATTGATAATGGATAATCAACAGTAACAACAAGGTCGCGCCACTTGAAGCTCACGCAGCCTGTCTCAGTGAGAGAATCTCGTGGAGAAATCGAAACAAATGAATGTAACTGCACATAGAAGAAACATATAAATGTAACTTAGTTTTACTTCTTAGCATCTGGGTGCTACAGTATGGAGTCATTTCCTCAGCAAGATATCTGACCTCTTCTAATGAGACAGCACTGGGTTCTTTATGATCTCTTAGTTAGCAGTCGGCAAATCGAGTCACGGAGTCGTCAGCTGGTGTGTGTGCCCTCAGAAGGCGCTAATGAGTAGATCTATGTAGTGACATTGTTCTGCTTGGTGCCACTGTATCCGTATCAGTCAGCATCTCTGACTCATGGGCTGTCTGTTCAGAGGCCTGTTCAGTATGGCACCCTGTGTTTAGAGACGCTGTTTCTTTCCCTCTCATTTACTTGCAAGAATCTTCTACTCTTTAAAGTTCACAGTGTGTATTTTCTTGTGCTTTATGCTTCTTGCATAAAAACATGTATTTATTAGAGATGTGTACAACAGTGTTTTACTTGCAAGAATCGTTAAATTTCACAAAGTGGATTTTCTCATGCATATTATTCTTGTGTAAAAAATTATTTATTTATTAGAGATATAAACAACTACATTATTAAAATTGACTTGTCTGAAAATTGACTAAAATTGACTTGTCTGACTTTTCTCTTTGTAGCACTATGTGTTTGTCCATTCCATGGGGTCCAATGTGGATGGTAAACTCTTTAAGGAACTATTCCCATTTTATACTAATTCTGGTTCACCATTTTGACACTAAAAATTTTCTGCACAAACCTTCTGAGATGATAACAGCTACTGTTTATGTCACAGTGGTCTGCGAAGGTGCTTACTTCACTCATGCATAACACCTGAGAGGACAGGTGTTGTTAAATCCATGACTACCTGAATGAGCACACCTTTGTGAATAACATCTGGTCTCCCGTGTGGAATATTTTCAGGTGTAACTGGGACGTTCATCCTCCTCCACCTGTATCCCACACCATCCTAGGAGCTGCTGCCCTACTTGCCAATGTATTAATTCCAGGGCATGCTGCTGTGCTGTCTAAATAAATGCTTTGCTCTTTTCGATAAGTTTAATCAGCCCTAAGTAGGAAGCTGCCAACATGAGCATTGTTCGAGTGCTTTCTGAAGCCCATCTCATCTCTTTCAACAGTTTTTGATGCGTTTCACACTGAAAACCTAAATCAAGCATAATTTCCACAGCCTGCTGCGAAGATGGGTCGAGTGGCTTCCAGACCCCCTGCTTAGTGCAGACAATTGCGAAGAAGACGGTTTGCATGCTAACGGCTCAAACGGGTTCCTAGGGGTGTGCAAACACGCTCGGCCTCCATATAACACGTATGTAACTTAGTTTTTATATTTATAACATACAGCCTAGTTAAGCAACATGACACGACCAAGAGAGTGAAATTTTCCCTGAAAACCACGATTGCAAATTTGACATTTTAAAGCGTTAAAACGAGTAGTTAATTACATTTTAGTTCAATATTTGAATTTGATATATTGTCAACGTTGACCATTTTTGCTCCATTTGGTTAATGAAAATAGTTACAAACAAAGATCACAGCAGAACAGTTGCACATGTCTGAGCAACACACAGCGGTGTTTCGTTACTGAATGATTCACGTTTTTGAATTTTGAATCATTTGAGTCAATGATTCAGTGGTCCATTCATAAAGACAGGCACTTGCTTCATTCTTGAATCAGCCGTCTGAACGAATCGTTTGAAGGCATGCTTCAATGACTCATTATTTAAGATCACTTGCTGCCACCTACTGGCGGTTTACTTTCATAGTAGCTTATTGTTGCATTTTTTCCAACATTTCATATTTGTATATTAAAATATATTAAAAAAATATATATACATATATATATATATATATATATATATATATTAAAACACCAAGCTCACAACATTATTTATGCTGTTATAATTTTACAGTGTTAATGCATTCGTGCTATATTTCAGCTACATTAAACTCTGTGTAAATGCATCTGAATGCCGCTCCAGTCACTTCTGTTTCTTCTGCAGTGGAAAGATCAGTTTTGTAGATACTGATTTCATATGATTGGTAACAGCCCTATATTGTCTTATTATATTAAGTGAAATTATTAATAAAATGTAAGAATTTGAAAATTACCTGGAAATCGATTTAAATAAATTTTTGTATGCAGTATTAAACGTCATATAAAACGTAATTTCCCAACAACAAAATTGTGGCCAGCGAAAATGCTGAGTGGCTAGTAAATTTGGAAAACCATTAGCCACAGTGGCCGGTGAGCAAAATAGCCCTATATATATATATGGAAGTTTTTATCAACAACAACAGCTTAAAAACCAACAAAAAATGTTTTGTTCTATCTCTTGCAGACTATCTGTCCCAAGGTGTTGATCTGTCAGGTATTGACGTCATAGAAAATGACCTGCTGTTCATCAGTCGAGCTCGTCTGGAGGTTGAGAACCAAGCCAAACGGTTACTGGAACAGGGCATGGAAATTCAGGTAAAAATAAAACAATGTAGGGGAGAAACAAAGTGCAAACTGTTGCAGAACTTGACAGCATTTTGAAAAAGCTTTCAATGTAGTCAGCTACTTGGTAAATTGTAGCATAGCTAACTACTTTGAAAAAAGATTTGATTTTACTTTTAAGATGCTGGTGTTACTGTAGGGGTAGATTAACTGCTTTAATTTATGAGTTTGTCACTTGGCAGGCTGCAATTTCAAAATTCTCCAACACCAAATCCAAGAACTGTTTACAAGTACAAGCATCGCTGAAAATGCCCAATTTGCATTGTGTTATGAATTGTTGTCCAACATATTCCAAAACACAACCATGAATGGAATCGTTTATGTGTTAGATGTGCGTTCATGTAGTTGCTCTTAAAATTTAATTGATAAAGCCATGTCTGACCTAAAACTTCAACTTAGATTAAACCTGTGCCAGTATTCTTTCTGTCTCTCTCCATCTCTCCCTCAGCATGTTTTTCTGTCACACGACGCAATCACACACAGCAGATGGGCCACACTGGCCTTTTCTCCCGTCTACAGACACACAGGCATCACACTGAACTGTCCAGTCACATTTCAGAAATTCAGCTGCCACATGGAGCCACCTCAGGGGCTGAAAGATGCAGAATATATCTGTTTTTCAGTAAATGACCATTTTAAAATGCCTCCACAAATAATCTATGTCGCATATCATCATATGAATTCAGCTGTCATGGCCCTTTTTATGTTTTGCACATTGCACAATTTTTTTTCTTTTTGATTGACAGTTTAATTTTTCAGCACGGTTTATGTAGCAAATCAATGCAGAGCTCCAGTTGGAGATGACAAGACTGTTGAAATACTGGCTACAAGGTCAAAAATTGATTGCTCTATGCATCTCTCATGGGCCATCAGCTGTCTTTGAAAGCATGACCGTTCAGGTAGTTTAGGTGAAGTTGTGGGGATGAACAGCCCATAGCTGACCTGGTCCAGTCAGGTTTTGTTTGTTCCTGCATCTTTAATTGTTTCCATTGCTGGCCGCTCGGTAAAATAAGCCTCCCAGTGCCTGCCAGCCGGGTTTTATTTTATTTTTTCAGCTTCACGAGTTGATTGTGTGATGGTCAGTCACCCCCATCTTTCACATGATGTCTCAAGGTTATTGGCTGCAGACAACGAAATGGCATTGACCACTGTGTAATCCCTTTAAATTTAGATATTGGGCAATGGAAGTTTCTGGTTATAGTGGTTGTCTTCCAAAACCTTGCGCGCTGCATTTTTGGGCATCATAGCTGCCAGTGATACTGAAACAAGGAGAGTCTCAGTGTAATGGTTAACTGTATTTAATTTCTTACTTAAGTATCCCAAGTGAAAAATAAAAATACTAAAATGTATTTAAAATACATGTATTTAATGCTAAGTACACTACAAGTACATTTACGTATTTATGTGCTTATTAAAAATACCCTGCAATTGTACTTGGCATACTAAACTGGTATGCTTAAAGTCTGCTAAATTGGAACAACTAATATTGTACGTAATGCACTTTAATTGTGCAGAAGTAGGGCTGAAGTCCAACTAAAGATATACTGAAGTATTTTTAATTGTGTTAAAGTGGAACTATTGTAAGTTTACTTTAGGTACACTTAAATGTTCTTGGATTTAAAGACCGATATTATTAAAAGATCGTTCAATCCTCATCAGTAGTGACATTAAAACACATTTTAAGCTTACTACTAAGAAATGTGCATTGTGCACAAGTAGTACTCAAAATAAAGTTTCATTATAATTTTTATGTCAGTAAGTCTCAAGCGATATGTAAGTAAATATGTTATGAACTATACTTAGTTTGAAATAAATGTGTTGTAAATATATTACTTTTCCTTCATCTTTCTCTTTATTGTCATTGTTTTTTTTTTTACTAGGGATGTTTTGATTCAATTTAAGTTAAGACTTTGCTTCTTGAGAAGTGTTACTTTTTTTGCATAGAAACCTAGTTATGAAATGTTCTTTTTTAAGGACCAGAAATCCTTTTTAGCTCTTGTTCACTTCAATTAAGTGTGAACCGCTAGTTCAATCTCAGTTCTCTATCCCATGCATCTCTAACAAATTCCTTCTCTCCCTACAACACATTCTTGCCCTATTAGCATCTCATTATAAAACCAAGCGATGCAAGAGCCCCCTGACCTCTGTTCATGTTTTTGTTGTTCTGGATCTTATCATGTAGTTCACTCCACTCCTCCACGGCCAGTCCTGCATCAGTATATTTAGAATTGTGTGGGTTACATAAGCCGCTATTCCTTAGCTCATGTGGAGAGATGGTCCTCTTCATTTCACTCTTTTAGTCTAAACAAAAAAAAAGAGGAATTTCAATTTAAATTGTGAATTTTAACCAAGATATCTCAAATCTTTTAATGTCCTTTAATGGAAACGTTCTGGGTTTAATGCAAGTTAAGCTGTATCGAGAGCATCTCATCCCTCAGTTTATAAGAACGACAGCTGTGCTTCCAGTAATGCACTTACAGTGTAAAATTATGGAGCAAAGATATTTGTGCTGCTCGTATTATTTGAAATGTTGTTTTCTTGCATGTTGACAGTAGTTTAATGATTAAAAGCTTCGTAAGATTATTTTTCGAATCTTGTCTATTTTAACATTTACTCCCATACAGTGCCTTGACTTACACTGTAAGTGCATTACTGTAAACAGTTTGTTTCTCTTTTTAAGATTAACTCGATTTCTGAAATGGCACATTTGCAAGTGAAACCATATTCATTTGAAAATAATGTAAAGGTAAACGTGATTTTGTCCAGTGGGATTTAATAGGATCAATAAAGTTGTTTTTTATTGATTAATATATTTTTTCATCATATCAGAAGAGGGTTCCTGTAATTAAGTTTTGATGAAAAGAAACAAAGAAAAACATAATCTGACTAATCGTCTTAAAGCAGCAGGAACTGTTTTGCATTTTCTTTGAAAACTTATTGGAGGATTGGAGGGTTTCTTCTGTTCTTAATTGCTTTTTGGTACATAGTGACATAGTGCTTAGTCTATTTTTCTCCTCTAAATTTCATTAGAAACGTACGGAAAAGTGGTACTTTATATCAGTGCATTCCTGTTTTGAAAGCATCAGCTGTCTGATTCGCTGCCATATTGTCAGAAGGGCACTTGAAAGGAGAGTGCGTTTGAAGGTCAAAATTAGACGTGCAGGGAGGCAGTACAAAAAGTGTAGCCTGTATCTGCACATTAATTTCGGATGGGGTGAGAGAAGAGGAGGTCTGTTAAAATTTCTGATAAACTTGTTTCAAGTCTGTTTTTATTTCTCTTCTCATACATTTATATCAGCTGCTTAAGAGGGATGTTTTCACGCAGAAGGTCGCGAGAGGTGACACTCTCGGGGGATGGAGGAGAAATCATGTTTTTTTTTTTCCCTTTTTCTTTTTTTAGTGTGTATGAGGGGATGAGATTTTGGAAGTGGATTCTCATTACCGCAGTGAAGGTTTTTGCTTACTCAGCAAACATTGGTTGGAGGTCACTGAGGTGTGTGTGTGGTCCAAGCTGGAGATGCATACTAGGGTCTCAAAGGGCTCAAAATTCACTGTGTGGAGTCGCACAAGTGTGTCCACAGACATACATATACAAAGGACTACTCTTGCCTTGGCTCCTGTCTTCCTGACCCAGAAAAGCAGAGTGCTCACGGGGCCAGTGTCCTGTTTCACATGCTCGTAGGGAAATGGACATTAATGCAGCCTTCTCGCTTACAGAAGAGAAAAAATGACAATCTCTCCATCCACAATACAGTGACCCTAAAAATGTCATTGCATTAGATTGCAAACTCGGTGTCGCTTAAAGAAAAAGTTTCCAAGCAAAACATCTCACAAAAATAAGTTTGTCCCGTTTTGAAATAATAAAATAATAGATCTTGTTGAAATTGTTGACTATGAATTGTGAAATATTAGGACACTTGCCTGAACCTGAGGACAACTGACTTCATAAATTCACTAAAAATAAAAAAAACAAGAGTTGGGAGATGTTAAAAAGCTAGTCTTTAGCGTTTAGTTTGACTGCTGACCAGCACGTTCTTAGGAAATCATTTGACCAGGTTCATGCATGATCAAAAACAGTCATAAACCAAGGAAAGAACTGACCTGCTGCAGAAATAACTAGTGAAATCACAGGAGTGTGGTTCCTCCACATAATAGATTAGGCACTGCCTGCATTGGAAGGGTGTTGATGGTGGAATCAATGACAGGAGGGAACGAATGAGTCTAGGTTTTAACTAAGTCTCTGCCGCTTTGACAGACAGATGTGCCTCTTGCCCCACCATGAGTAACTGTGTATTACATAAGCAGCCCCAGCAGAACATTGATCATGCACCCTTTAAACAATACGTCACCTTTGTCCATTTCAAGAGGTCAGAAGTGCACCTGATGGTTGTCTCGCATAGATTTTTGTTCTTTTGATATAAGGTGCAGATATACAGTAGTTCACATTGCCACAATCAATTGGGTCACATTATTATTTTTCAATAGATATGTTTTTCAGGATTTGCATTCATTTTATTTTTGATTTGAGGTTATGCATACTTAAAAATAAAAGTTCTTTATAACCCAGTATAAAAAAAACAAATGCATCTTTGGTCCTGGGCCTTGTTCTCAGACAACTTGGCACCCAGTATGTTTATTGGGTGAGGGGTCTGTGAACGTTTGTTAATCTAATGAATAATTGATTTGTTAAATCAAATGAAAAATGGTGTGTCTGATTGGTCCAGACGCTACAATAGTGTAAAAAGGTGCTTTTAAATTATTAAAATGTTCTTTACGCTAAGAAAAAATGGTTCTGTTAAGAACTTTTCATTGCTAGATTCTTTGGAGAACCCTAGATGGTTCTTCCATTGCATTGCTGTGAAAACCCCCTTTTGGAACCTTAATTTTTAGAGTGTATCTAAGATTGAGGTTGTTAGGATTGAAATGATTTTCATTTCTCTGCATTTGTCCATTCTGTCTGATCTGTTTAGTTT